GAATGAATGGAATCTGTAGGTGACATTATCGAAAAATGCGAAACAACAACCCCGAGCAAGGATGTGGCTATATTTAGGGGAAGGGGTCTCGGGACGTGCGAACCATGGGTAAGCCACCCATCAAATAGTAAACTTATGTAAATTAAAACAAAATTTATTGTAGGTTTGTCAAAAATCCAGCCGTCCAGGTCCTGGGAAGATATGTTATTCCACATTGCTGAGAGTATATATGGGTATATTAAGATTGCTAGAAACATTCCAAAAACAAAAGAAATAGTCGTGCGCCACCTTGTGGCGCACGCCGTCCGTTATGGGTTAAATAATACACTTGAAATTGTCGAAAAGATCAGGGTCAAAAGAGGCAGGACTTTCTATCCAAAAACATCCTCTTTGCTGAAGCAAACAGAGTTGAAATAGCGTTGGGGACAATGGCAGAAACATGGTAATCGTGAATGCAATTGCTTCTTTAGAATTGGTGGTCTTTTTTTTTTAGGTATTTTTCCTCAATTTCGCAATCATTTACATCTCTAATAAAGTAACTATTGGAAAATGGGAACATTGCTTCGGCAAACGTTATGATTCGAAAGACGATATCTGCATATAAGTGATAAGAATTCCTTCCAAAGCATGTGTTCTTATCGGTTCTCCATCTCTAGTTTTTAATTGACGCATCCAGTTCGTTATCAAACCTCATCGTGATGTTCGGTCTTTGAGCGCAGGCCGTAAACATGCACGCTGCAGTGTTTATGCAGCCGACAGGAAATCAAACTGGGTTTACTTTACGTGCTTGGTGAACACGGCAAGAAATCAAATGGAACGAATCCAAAGTGAGACTAAGAGATGAAGCCTTCTACCTCGATTGGTAATTGCATCTTGCGATGCACCAAGAATTCCGCTTTTATTCAGAATTAGTTGCATTTGAATGCACTCTGGCTTATATAAGGGCTTGCAGAAGCCAGCCGATGATCTGGCCACTTTTTATACTTCCGCAGAAGTCTGACACTTGTAAGCCGACCCCGGATGGTTGGAATTCTTGATGGCTTGAATGGTTTACAATCCAGGATTCGATCCCCATGCCACAAGCGTAGTGAGGGGTGCAAATTTTCAATACACTACTTGCGCCGCTAAGAAAAGGTTATGTGGCTAAGCTTGGATCTATGGAATCGCTGTTGACGGCATATTAGTTTGATGCAGCAACTTAAAAAAATGGAATTAGAATTTCCTTAGTAGTCAAGAAAAAGTGGTACGAAGCTCGC